GCAGTATTGCGGCACTTACTTTTCATGCACCTCGTATCTCTGTGCCTCTACCTATGCTGTGTCTTCTGTGTGAAATGTAGCCCCTCTTCCCATAAGCCTGTGGACTCCTATACTCTTACTCATCTTTCAGAACTCTGGTTAGGTGCCAGATCCTCTCTGTAAAGTCTGCTCATCCCTACAGAGTTAATCATGTCTTCTGTACTGCTCACTTACAATTGCACATACTGTACAGTACTGTAATCCTTTTTTATAGATCTGTATTCCTTACTAGATGAAAAGCTTCTTTGGGGTAGGGACTGTGTCTTGTAATTTTTGTATCTTCACCTGTCATATCACCTAATCTGTGAGGTTTTATATTTCTTGAGGGTTCTTAAAGTTTTTTTCTTAACTATTTTAAGAAGAATTTTTGTCCTTTAACTTACACTGTTATCATTCCTAAGCCTTGAACAAAGGCAAACAAGTGCATACCTAATGGCAGTTACCTTAAATACCAGTTTAATGGAGTACAGACTCAATTCAGTTAAAATTCATTGAAGTCTTGGCTTGTATAAGTCTCTATTAGAGGATAGAGAGTGGGTGAGGAGACCGATATTTACATAACTGTAGTTTCAGGGCAGAATGCATTAGTAGCTTTCTTTTGCATAGTGCTCAATAGTTTTTACAGAGTGGTTTCCAACTTCATTCGTTCATTCCTCCCAACAGTTCAATGAAGTTGGAAGTCTCTTTACATGTACTCCTCCTTGTGCCTTCAAATTTCTTTACTCAAGTCTTTAAGCCCCCAGCTTTTCCTTTGGGTCTTGGCTTAAAGATCTTTCTTCCCTTCCTGTCTCCTTTACCTGAAGTGGCAGTCAGTCTACTGCTTTGCCCCCAGGATAGTCTCTTTCTTTCTTTTATCATCCTGTTTGTTTCCTTCATAGCTCTTATTATAGTCTAAAATTATCTTGCTTATTTATTTGTTTACTTGTTTGTGGTTATCTTCTCCTCTAAAATGTGTACCTTATGAAAGCAGGGACCTTATTCATCAGCCCGAATTCCCAGCACCTAATGCAATATTTGGGATGTGGTGGGTACTTGTATTGTTGAACAAATGAATGAGGTATGTTGTTCTGATTTATAGACCAAAGAAACCTAATTCCGAGTATATGAAAATCTGGATTTATACAACAGATAAACTGAATTTGTTAGGTATTGAAATCCTGCTCTTGTGCCAGGCACTGTACTGAGAGCACTGGGTACATAGAGACAAATAAGGCCGCTACACTTGCATTAGCACGTTGTCTCCACGTCATGGGTACTTACTGTATAGTAAAAAACTAAAAAGGAATTGTTTAAGAATAGCAAAGAGATCAGATTTCTTAATTCAGTAATATCTATTAAGTACATAAATTGGCGAGAGAACTCAGAAAGAGGGGATTGTACAAGAGCAAACTTGTTAGAGTGATGGAAATACCCTGTATCTTGCTTTAGGTGGTGTTTATAGGTCTATATAGTTGTAAAAACTCATCAAATTTAACACTTAACTCAAAGCTCAACAGGCTAAACTATAAATTAGGACTCAATATAAAATAAGTTGAAGCAAGCATTATTTAGGCACTGAGGATATAATGGTGACCTAGACAAAAAAGGTGTCTGCTTTTGTAGATCTTACATTGATTGGGGGACATGATGGATGGATGTAGCCATTAAAATTCATGTTTCCAAATGACGCTAAGAAATTGGGAAATGTTCCTCATATAAAGTGAAAAAACTAAGATATGGACTGTATATACAACATGGTCTCAGTTTTGGCTTTTAAGTATTTAAAACGTGTATTTACAGAGCAAAAAAAACAAAAGTAAAATGTTACCAACTCTTGACTGATAGGATTAAAGTTATTTTTTATACTTTTCTAAATTTTGTAAAATAAATGCTATTTTTGATAATTCTTAACCATAAAAATAAAAAATATACTGTACGAAATATACATTATACCTAACAGGAGGTGATAGTTTTTCCCCTCAGAATATCTAAAATATCTGTGATAGCTCAACATATATCAAGCAGGTTCATAGGAAATAGCTATTCTTAAAATTTTTTTAAATTTCTTGTTTCATTTTTCTGTATTTCATATTTGTTCACTAAAAATATATTTAAGTGATTTAATTATATTAAATATATTAAAATATATTTAAAGTGATTTAATTAAGCTTCATAGGCTGTTGTTATTTTTCGTTATTAAGCTTTTCTGTAGTTAAACTGAAGTTTATCACCTTCAAAAAGTTGATTGCACTCAGACTGTTGTATCAATTATTACTTGGTTGTAGGAGATAATAGTCCTTTTTATTACCATATTACCACAGAGTAATGTTTTACCGAGGAATTAAGTATGTTGAAAGAACAACATTTTTGGAAGTAGATTTTTAAAAGTATTAATGCCATTTATTCTCTGAGATTTGTGGGCTAGGAGAGGAAATGCTAAACTTAGGAATCTAAGTTACAGTTTTCATCTTTAAATTCTTATTTATTTATTTTTTGACTTTGAGTCATTTAACCTCTCATGATTTTTTAATTTTGTAATATACAGAATAGTACTTAAAGTTACTCTACATTTAATAAACATTTACTGAATACTACTTCAAAATATTTTACTGGGTGTTGGGGTCAATAGCAATCTCAGACATTCATTGCCAGATCTAGAAGATAAGTGTAAATAAATAATTACAGTACTATGTGGTGAGTGAGAAAGGGACTGACATTTATGTTCTGCATTCATTCATTTAAGTCATTCATGAAACACCTATGAGGTATCTACTTTGTGTCAGGGAGAGTAGTAAGGACATACCTCCTTTTCTTATAGGCTTACGAGTCAGCTTTATAAGCAGATGACAGACAGTGGTGTGATAAAAGAAGCATGAGGAAAAAGGGTTTGGAAGTACAGGAGGAAGTGATTGATTTTGCTTTGTGAAATCAAGGAAGACTTCTGGAGAAGGCAATATTTGACCCTACTCTTGAGGGGTCTACACAAATTAGTCCAATAGACTAGAGGTAGAAAGATAGAAGGAGTTCCTTAGGCAAAGAACACAGGAACGCAGCTACTAGGTAGTAGCTTTGGGTGGCTTCAAGTACGTAAGAGATGGGTGCTGAAGCTGTCAAAGCAGCCATGCTATGCTATAGAGATGTTGCTTTATTGAAACAATGGTTTATAGCAGTGCCATCCAAAAAACATGATGGAAATGATCTCTGGCTGTCAGATATGGTAGCTCCTGGTACCATGTCACTGTTGAGCTGGTGATATGTAACTAGTTTGTCTTGGAAACTGAATTTTGAATTTTACTTAATTTAAATGTGTTTAAAGTTAATAGCTGTATCTGTATATTAAACGTGTTTTTTATTTTCTATATTTTATGATGCTTTGACAACTTGGGGGCCAAGAATAACCTGCACCTTCCCAGGAGTAGCTAATTCCTAGAGATAGTAAACAATCTGCCTGTAAACACACTTTTCATATGCAAACCAACCACCTCCTTTATCTCCCTCTCACATAGCACCCAGTATTTCTCCTGCCCTCATCACCCAGGGCTAAGTACTAGACACCTAGGGACTACCCCAGTAGCCGAGAGCCCACAGAAATTATTCCTTTTCTTTTAATACTTGAATAGTAAGAACAGTTATCTCTGGGAATAGTTTTACCAAGAGTAGAACAGATAAAATTTTAAATCTGTTAGATTTGATTCATGGTGATTGAGAACAGGTTATGGATTTATTGTCCTGCACTAAACCTGCTTATTAAGCTGTAGTTTACCCACATGAAAAATGGGAATAATAATGGTACCTACCAAATACAGCTGTTTGAACTAACACAGCTTAACAGAGTTAAATAAGGTAATACAGTTGTACTTTTAGCATAGTCTGTTAACATTAATTAGCATGCCTTGGCACATAATCTTTAGTTTTTCTCTTTTTCTTGACTAAGCTATTTCTACACAGTGCTTAGCAAGATATCAGGTAAGCACTCAGTGAAGATTGTCAGAGGATAACATTTTAAGAACAAAGGATTCTCTGCAGAGGCATGGCACTAGCCAGCATTTGATGAACTCATGCTGAAATGTTTATCTTGGTTTCCTTATGTGTTTGTCTTTATAGACCTAGGGACCATTTTATTTATTTACTTACATTCCCTAACCTCCCCCCCCACCCAAGACAGTACTTAGTACTCCTAAGGCATTTAATGGACACTTAGGGAATAAGATGTATCTAATAATGAGAACATTCAGTGTATGAAAATTTCAGTTAGTTCTTTAAGATAATAGCTTTTGGACAACATTTCTTAAGGAATGACTATGTCTTACCAAAAATGTAAATTAAAGCATTGAAGACATGTTCTGTCTGAAATCCTAAATCAAGGATAAAAACATTCTTTCTTGGGTATTCTGTTATATGGTATTTTTTTAAGATTTTATTTATTTATTTATTAGAGAGAGAGAGCGCGCGCACAAGCCGGAGGAGAGGGAGAAGCAGGCTCTCCACTGAGCAAGGAGCCCATGCGGGGCTCAATCCCAGCACCCTGGGATCATGACCTGAGCTGAAGGCAAACGCTTAACCCACTGAGCCACCCAGGCGCCCCTGTTATATGATCTTAGATATGGAGGAAATGTTTTCTAAACCTATAAAATATATCACTTTTGTTTGTAATTGGTGATCATTATTCCTGAAATAAAAACAAAGATAAACACAAATATACTTAGTGTGAGGATAATGAAATAGGATATTTGACACAGGATCTATTTCTCAAAAGTTATGTGTTCCAGTTTTACAAGTTTTAAGTTAGCCCACAGATAAAACAAGGTGGTCTCAGGTATAGGGGGCTTGATTGTGTTACTTATACATAGTGTTATAGATAAGTTAGTTTTGAGATTAACGTAAGAAGTAAAGAATAGGTAAAGAGTAAGCTCAAGGATGACACATGCTGTTTGAGCTCTGTTACAAGAGGGCCGCGCACTGTTAAATCTGTACGTGTTCAGTTTCAGAATGGCTTCGGTTACTGCCTTTCCTTGGTGTACTTGCACTACTTGGCTACCTTGCAATTCGTCCATTCCTCCCGAAGAAAAAACAACAGAAGGATAGCTTGATTAATCTTAAAATACAAAAGGAAAATCCCAAAGTGGTGAATGAAATAAACATTGAAGATCTGTGTCTCACCAAAGCAGCTTACTGTAGGTGTTGGCGTTCTAAGACGGTAAGATGTGCACTCCCATGTACTCTAACACCATGCAGCTAAAGTTGTTCTGCTTCTTAAATCATCAGTTTTGAGGTTCTGGGAGATAAACGGTTTTTCCACAGGGTTCAGTACTGAAAATCTATATGCCTAAGTTAAAGTTTGCATTTTATGATGGATACTTACCTACATTAGAAATGTTACAGCAGCAAGGAAGGATAGAAATCTGATGCTTCAGAGCTGATGTCTGCCACTGATAGTATGACTTTGGTTGGGCAGGTTACTTAATCTTTAATCTCTGATGTTCAAGGGTTTTTTTTTCCCCTGATAATATGTTACCATCATAGACATTTTTTAGGATTTAGTGAGATGCTGTATGTACAGTACCTTATATATAGATGAGCTAATAAATGGCACCTATAATTATGGATGACTTTTAATGTGGAAATAATAAGGAGTATGGAGTGATGAGTATTATAAGTGGCTGGTGAGATCTGTTTTCTTCTAGTACTATGATCATAGGTTATTTGAAGTTTTAAGTACGGTAGTGTTCATCACAACATTTTTTTGTAATAGCAAAGTTTTGGATCTGATAATGGAAATGATTAAAGTATGGTATAATACAAATTATGGGATATTAGGAAGCTATTACAAATCATATTTTTAAAGACTGTTTTAATGACATGAGAGCATGATGTAATTAATAAGAAAAGCACAGTACAGTATGATCCCAATTTTGTTTTTTAAAAAAGGAATACACATTGTAAAGGCAGAAGAAAAATAGATCAAAATCATGATTATTTTAACTTATGAGTGAATTTTTTTTAAATGCATTTTTAAATTTTTTTCAAGAATTTTATAGTAAGTGTGAGTTTTATAGTAAGAAAACATGAAATAATGTATTTTGAATTTAAGTTGCAATCGACTCTTGAACAACGTGGCGGTTGGGGCAGCCACCCCCTGCATGGTCAAATCTGGGTATAATTTTTGGCTCCAAAACTTGATAGCCTACTGTTGACCAGAAGCCTTACTGATGACATAAACAGTCAGTTAACACATACTTTGTATGTTAGATGTATTACGTACTTTATTCTTACAATGAAGTAAGCTAGAGAAAAAGTAAGAAATTTTATCTTCCTGTGGTAAGAAAACCATAAGGAAGAGAAAATTCATTTACAGTACTGGACTGTGTTTATTGAAAAAAAAATCCACAGTTAAGTGGACCCGCACAGTTCAAACCTGTGTTGTTCAAGGGTCAACTGTACATTCTTTTCTAATTTAAATAAATAGAGGTGAGCTCTAATTTGGGGTTCCACAGAGAACAAGGGCTTGTTTTGATCCCCCTTTAAACCTGTTTTATTGACTCTTGGAATAATTCAAGATAAAATAAAATCTATGTCAAATAATACATTATTTAAAATTGTTAGATTTGCTGTGAGATTGGAATGAGTTAGGTTAGATGCAGAATATACATTACTCAGGAAAGCTATCTGATGATTTTTTTTTGAAAGTTATATACTTCTTTATAAGAGCATTTCACAAATATTCCTACTTGTTAAATCATTTTTAAAATAACACTTGTAATTCTTTTTCCTTTCTAGTTTCCTGCCTGTGATGGTTCACATAATAAACACAATGAATTGACAGGAGATAATGTGGGTCCACTAATACTGAAGAAGAAAGAAGTATAGTAATGAATTAGGATTGAATTTAGTTGTGTGCTGTAAAATCTTACAACAATATTTTTTCATTCTTTGTGTGTAGAGCTTTCAAATGGTGGTCTTAATTATTGCTACTGGTTGAGTAATTATTGCTGCCAATTTATTTTCTTGCTACACTACTGTTTATATTTGATACTTTGTATATTCAAACAGTCATTTATATAGAAATTAAATTGTACAACCCTTTCATTCTTACTTCAAAGACTTAATGTATCTTCCTAAATAAAACCAACACTCTTGGTTTTAACTGAGAAAAATCTGTTTTTGGCAGTGGGCCCAAAGCTATTCCTTTGAATATCAATATGTTCTATAGAATCTACATTTAAAGTTTTTCTCCCTACATACACTATTAAATATTTTTCAGTCCCCTTCTGTTTTGATCATTTGAAGTGATTTTTCCTCTTGGCTGTCCACACTCCTTTCTTTTCAGATCAATAAGAAAAATATTGCTCTCAAGAATTACTTGAGTTTTTAAAAAGATAAATGCTTTGCTTTATAAAGACTGTGTCTAATAAGTGTGAATATCCCAATTTCAGAAAAGACATGAACTGGATATAGAAAGTTCCAAAAAGGAACAGTTATTTACATTATAAAAATTTTGTTTACTTTACAAAAGGCTTGTTTGTGTTTGTTTAGGTGTGTGTTTTGTAAAAGTATCTTGAACTCTTTGACTCAGTGACAAGGTGGGATGAGGTGGCAAGAATACTTATACTAAACTCCTGAGCTGCTGCAATTTGAAGGTTAATTAGAAATAAACATAAAGTATATCTGAATTCATATTAAAATGATAAATCAGTGTTCAAAACCGTATACGTTCTCCTCTTTGTAACAGTGTAAGCCAATAAAACATAAAATACAAAAAGGTTGCAAAATAAATTTACTGGAGAATCTTTAAAACTTTTATAATTTTTTAGCCTAAGTCTATTTAGTTTTATTGTATATTATAGTTTTTACATTAATAGCTGTCCTTAAGTCTGTCTATGAAAGGTACAATCCTGTCAGTTTACTGTGTCTTTTTTATATAGAAAGAAGATACAGGAGGCAGACATATTTAATTCTCCCAATAATAATCAAAGCTAAAAGCACGTGTATACACGAGACCCTGAACTAAGTCCTGTACCTAGATTTGTAATTTATTACATGTAATGTCAATAGGTTCTATTGTGTGATCTTTGATCTTGACTCTTGTGACCAACAGCAGGAATTTTAAAGTTAGAGTTAGAAATGTAATTGTGATTTTGAGAAGTTTTACAAGGTGTATGTACAAAATAGTTAATATTTCCTCATGTGTGAAGAGGGAGAAATGTACCACTGCTGTCACCATGGCTCTGGATGTTCTTTCTTACAGCCTTCTCTTTGACACTTTTAAGGGGCTTCACTGTCAGATGAAGCAATTATTTTTCCATTAGTGATCACAAGACTTTGGGAAAAATCATCCTTACCAAAAGTTTGAATCTCCATGGTCTGTGGTCATGAAATGCTTTTCTTTAAAATTAATTTACTGCAGCACAACAACATGTATATTCTAGTGGTTCCCAGACTTAGATTTCACAGGAGAAGGTAAAATTTCCTAAAAATGTGGAGACTAAAATGAAATTATCAACTTTAAATTTTGTCAACTAAACATATATGAAGAATTGAAAATTAATTATCTCATAAAAGGTAACTTTAACACCCAAAAGTATAAGGGCTATACTCTCAGGATAGTTTTTGCTGCCCACATTTTCAATTTTTAAAATATGTTAAAGAGCTGTGTCCAAATATTTTCCTACCTGTGCAGATTTTTCAGAAGCCTCGGGCTGCTAGCAAGCTGTTATTTTAATGACTCCCTTTACATAAGCATTATTATCAGTTGCTGTCACTTCCTCTTGTAAAATCACAGAATTCTGTCGTGTCTGCTTTAAAAAGTGGGTATCTAGTAACTGCTTCTGAATTGTTACAACAGAAGATAACAGCTCTTGAAATACTTATCTTGGGTTTCTAGAACCTTTAAGAAACAACTCTGTCACTGTCACGTGATTGTTTTGAGGCCTGCTTCTCCTTACCCAGGGAACTGCTCATTGCCTTACTCAGCAAATGAGCACTACCATTACAAAAATATCAAGTATCCAAAACTGTTGAGCAGGCTTGAGGTATTAATGACTCATTCATATGGGTAATTAAGCAAGTTGTATTATGAAAACACCTTACAATTCAACTTTGAATTCAATGCCTCATATGATGATTCATTGAATTGCTTTTGTATTTTGTAACCTAGTTTGTTAATAAGTTTATGGGAAGCTACTTAAGCCAGTTGCTGATCCAAAGAGTTCTACCTTTCTTATTGTGATTCCTATAGTTTTCCAGTAGAAACATGCTGTCAGACTCTCCCTCTGCAAAGAGAGTTTTAAAACTCTACTGTTCAATAGGGTTCTTAAATTACGGTGGGTATTTTATTAACTACCAGAAACATCTAAGAATTGAGTGCCTCAGGTCCCCATCTTCAGAGTCTGCTTATTCTTACTTCACAACTAATTCTGATAAATTTGGTTATCTGATTTCTCCTAAAAAAAAAATCAAAAGAATGGATGGGGTCTTGCTAGTGGCAGGTAAACAATAAAATGTAACAACTGATAGCTGGGGAGGGAACCAAACAATAAATTTACTGTGAACTTTAAAAGCATAGCAGCTTGAGAATTTAACATAGGATCCTGCACACCACAGACCCTGAGAGCATCTCTGTGATCAGATTATACAAGTGATGTTTCATGATGAATTTGAATCAAGATAGGTAGTATATGGTGTTTAAGAAGGCAGGATATGTGTGGCATTTGGTGATACCAGTTTCCACTTCAAATAGTGAAAAGTTTAGCACTATCCAGGCGGAAAATTTATGCAGGAAATCCTTGACTCATTCTTGACTCATTCTTGGATATTTGGAGGGTTATCATAGGAAGTTCTTCCATTTAATTGAAATGTTTTTCAAGTTTAATGATGGTAATTCACTACATAATTTAATTTGTTTAAAGTATGAGGAAAACTAAAGGAACAGTGATTTAAACCACACAAATCATGTTAGAGGACCTCCACCTTTGGGAGGATAAAATATGCTTGTTTGAAAAGCACTCAGCCGCAGTTTCGTGACTGCCTGTCTTGCTGGCCATGGAATCCCTTTGCACCAGAGGTTGGACTGCAGAGAACTTCCGTAGCTGTTTTGTTTTGTTTTGTTTTGGCTATGCATCATCTGAAGCTGTGTTTTAGTTTGTCAGGATAGTCTTTTCTTGGAAGCTCACTTTATTTTATCATGTTCAGATAGTACTTCTATCTTTTGCAGAAATCCAGTTTAGTGGAGTCATGTTATAGCAAGCATTATTTTAATGTAAGAAGTAGTCCATATTATTAGCGATGGTATTATGACATTTTATATTAGTTACGGTCTTGAAGGACATTGAAAATCTGTATGCAAGAGGCATACTTATGTTGTTACTCAGAGATGACATCACCCACTAATTGTCCTTTGGTTTAAATATTTGATTCTTTGCTTATAAAAAGAGTATATCTGTGACTGTATTCTCTGTTGTCAAATTCAATATTTACTGTTGTCAAATAGATCAGCCACAGTGTTAAATTCCTGATCTCTCTTATAAGGCTGAAATTTTCCAATATGTAGAAAAGGGGAAAAGGGTAGTAAATTGCATAATTACAGAGGTGAACCCTGTACTAGTGAGAAAATAAAAAATGTCAAGAAATAATTCACTAAATTTTCAAATTTCCTGTAATTTTCCATTAGTATCCATCATATATTCCTCTGCCTTATCACAATGAAGATAGGAATCCATAACACCCATTCAACAAATTTAAGAAACTCACAACTTAGAAGTACAGTCTTCAACTATGTTGAATGCTGCCAAGAAGTGAAATAAGATGATGAACGATGTTCATTTTAAAATGCTGCATACAACTGTATAAGTAACACATTGGAAAACCTAGAGGAAATGGATAATTTCCTAGAAAAACATAAATGATGGAAAGTGACCCAAGATGAAATTTAAAATGTTAGATTGATTATCAAATGAGAACATAAAAGTGAGTTTTTTTAAAGTGAGTTTTTAAATCCCTAATTTAAAAAGTACTTGGGGTGCCAGAGTGGCACAGTCTGTTAAGTGTCCTACTCTTGGTTTCTGCTCAGGTCCTGATCTCAGGGGCTCTGTGCTCGGCGCAGAGTCTGCTTGTGATTCTTTCTCCCTCTCCCTCTACCCTTCCCCCCCCCCCATGCACGCGTACCTCTCTCTCTCTCTCTCAAATCTTAAAAAATAAAAAGTACTAAGATTGCAAGAAAAATAATTCCAATGTTATTTAAATTATCCCCAATTTTTTATATAGGAAAAACTTCCCAACTCATTTGATATCGTTACATAACATGAATATGAAAAGCTGATAAACATAAACTCAGAGCAATCTCACTTATACATATCAATGAAAATTCTAAAAACAACAGTTAAGAAAAAAAAGGTTAATATACCATGGCAAAGAGAACTGTACTCCAGGAATTGAGTATTTTGATCAGTAAATCTATTAACACAATCAATTATATAAATGAATTAAGAAAACATGATCATACCGATAGATGCTGAAAGAACTATTGCTAAGATTCAATAGCCATACCTAATCAGGATTCTTCAGTAAAATAGAAGTTGAAGGAAACTATTTAAACACAATGAAGGTTATTTATGAAAAGCCTACAAGTATTTAAAATCAAATTCTTCCATTTAAAATCAGGAACTAGCAGGAATGAATGCTTACTGTCATTATATATTAAAAATTTTCTTGCATGATCCAGTGAATGTGACAAGATTAAAACGTGAAATAATCAGTATAAATATAGGAAAATAGAAAACTCTGTTGATGTAATTATATACCTAGCAAACCACAGAGACTAGGAAAAACAGAACTAAAGAGAGATTTTGTAAGGTATTTGGAAACAAGATGAATCTACAAAATTTAGTAGCAATAAGCACCCTGAAATGCTAATGGGAAAAATATTTAATTCACAATAGCGAAACTTACCAAGAAAGGTAAAAGACCATGGAGGGGGGAACCTATGAAAATGTTATTAAAAGAAATTGAATGACATTTAAACACATGAAAAAAAAACTTGCTAGTGTAAAAATATAAATCTTTTAAAATAATATATGGGCGCCTGGGTGGGTCAGTTAAGTGTCCAACTCTTGATCTCAGCTCGGGTCTTGATCTCAGGGTTGTGAGCTCAGGTTCCACGTTGGGCTCCACACTATGCATGGAGCCTACCTAAAAAAAGATAAAAAATAAAATTAATATATAAATCTAATTAAATTCACATTAGAATCCCAAGATTATTTAAAAATTGGATTAAATTAACGTTCATATAGAAGAATAGTCAGAAAATTCTACCCCAAAAAAAAGACTATTGAGAGGAACTTTACTCACCAGATATCAGCATATACTATAAACCCATCAGAATCAAGTTAGGTTTTTTTTTTTGTTTTTTTTTCTTTATTTGACAGTGAGAGAGGGAACACAAGCAGGGCAAGTGGGAGAGGAAGAAGCAGGCTTCCCGCTGAGCAGGGAGCCTGATACGGGGCTCAATCCCAGGACTCTGGGATCACGACCCGAGCGGAAGGCAGACGCTTAACAACTGAGCCATGCAGGCGCCCCTCAAGTCAGTTAATATAAGAAAAGCAATTGCATTAAATAAGAATAAACAAGATTGATAGAAAAGAATTGAGACTCCAGATATATATGAACATTCAATATATGACAAATGTGTTTCAATTCAAAGAAAACAAAATTGAATTCCCAATTTACACTAAAGGCTTTGATGTGACATATAAAATGATGTTTAAAATCATTTTAAAGGTAGAGAGTGGGAGCTGGGGGAGAGGGAGAGAAAATAGACTAATGATGGGGAAAACCTATGTAGCAAAAATTAACAATTTTTGTGATAAAGGGTAGAGTTAAATATTAATATAAATATGGAGGAAATTGCAATGTGGGTTACAAAGAGTTAACATCTATACTATACTAATATGTATAATATAAGAATATAGTGATAATATATACTATAAAATGAGCACTTACAGGAAAACACAACACAAAAATGTGGGTACATAAAGACATAACCATAGAAAAGTAAATCCAAATGACCAAAATGTATAAAATTATGCTCAAGCTCACTAGTAATCAAGGAAATGCAAATAAAGCATTAGAGGATTGTCATTTTATACCCCATTAGATGGTCACATATCAAGAGAACAATACCTATTGTTGGTAAGTATTTTGGAGTAGGGGAGCAAGTACCCTTGATAAGAAATATGGATCGTTACAGATTTTTTGGAAAATAACTTGGTAACACTTTAGAAAAAATATATGTCACAGAAATCTTACAGAAATAAAATCAGTATGTATGGGGATATATATATATATATATATTTTTTTTTTTTAAGATTTATTTGTCAGAGAGAGAGATTGAGAGTACAAGCAGGGGGACTGGCAGGCAGAGGGAGAAGGAGAAGTAGGCTCGATCCCAGGACCCTGGGATTATGATCTGAGCTGAAGGCAGGCGCTTAACTGACTGAGCCACTCAGGCGTCCCTATATATGTTTTTTATTTCAACATTGATCTTAGTGGAAAATCCAAATTAGAACTATATTAATCGACTCAGCATTTCTATGCAGTACTGAAAAAAGCAAAATGAAGTATGGCATGTTTAATCCCCAAACCCCTTTATATGATAATAAATTTCTGTGTATATATATACACACTTGTTTGTATGTTTGGGTCTTGTGTATATGCATATATGTTGGTATATGATTTTATGAGTGTGGAGAAAAATAGGGATGAAATCTAATGAGGATGACATTATTTGTCTGGAGAGGGTGGGTGAGGTAAAGATGGGAATTTGAGTGGGAGAAAGAGGAGAGAGTAAGCAAAAAAGAGAAAAAAGTACTAAATTCCATGTATGATATCCCATTTTGAATTACCTAAACGTGTGTATACACTGTAAGAAAATGTAAACCATTAACTGGTACTGATAACATGAAGGTCATTGATGACCTTACCCAGAGCAGTTTTAGTTAAGTGGGACAAAGAATGAGGTAAAATTCCTATTACAGCAGTTTTAATAATAAATAAGTGGTAAGATAGCAGACTACAATAAACTGTTTACTGAAATCATGCCAATAAAAATAAACCCAAAAAACGAGTAAAATGTAATAAATAATAGAGAGCAAAAAAAAAGTGATAAAGAGAATCACTACGTGTTACCCTGTGAATGAGGCAAATGAGGCCTCTGTATATTGGCCCCTGGGTTGTTTATTAGCTCAAAAGCCCACTGGCACCATATCAAAATTTTACACATCCATTTGTTTTAAACATAGCTTAATCAGAGTTTTAGCTATTTAGAGCTTGGCTGCTTTATATACCCTATGAAACTGTGCCTAAAATCGGCTTGCCGATTGGGTTATAAAGACCCTAACCTGCTGCAGCTCTTTAGAATTCTGACCCAGAGACTCCCCGCCATGCTGCTGAGTGACATCATACGAAGCCACCTAGACACATAAGCCCTCTTTCTGATGCCTTTCTCCTCCAGGAGGTCCCTTGCCCTCCTCCCCTTCTGAATGACGGCCTCCTAGTCTTAAGCCTCTGGATGGTCTGATGGTATTGGGGCCCTACCCCAGCACGCAAACCTTCAAAATATCACCCAAATAAAGCTTGTGTGTGCTGCTGCCACCTCATGGCCATATTTTCCTCCTGTGATCAGCCTTGAAATGCTCAAACTCACCCCCTTTCACTAGGTAATAATAGAAGTAAAAATTCACGAGGAAGATATACCAATTCTAAAATTGTAGATCCCTAATAATATATCTTCAAAATAAATAAGGCCAAAATTAATGGAATTATACAGAGTAATTGATAAATACACAAATACACAGAAATTTTAACACATCATTTTTAGTAATTGACTAAATGGACTTAAACTTAGTAAGGCTATATAGATGATATAGAACTATAATCAACAATTAAATTATCCCTATTCTCTTCAAGTAAACTTTAAATATTTACAAAAGTTGACCAGATATTAGGCCTAAAGTTATCACACTTTATTTTTTTAAATTTTATTTTATTATGTTTTCTTTTTATTTTTAAAGAATTTTTTTAAATTTATTCATTTGAGACAGAGAGATACAGAGCGAGAGAGAGAGCAGGAGCAGTGGGGAGGGGCAGAGGAAGAGGGAGAAGCAGACTCCCTGCTGAGCAGGGAGCCCAATGTGGGGCTCGACCTCAGGACCTGGACATCATGACCTGAGCCAAAGGCAGACGCTTAACCATCTGAGCCACCCAGGTGCCCCTTTATTATGTTATGTTAATCGCAATACATTACATCACTAGTTATTGATGTAGTGTTCCATGATTCATTGTTTGCGTATAACACCCAGTGCTCCATGCAGTGCATGCCCTCCTTAATACCCATCACCGGGCTAACCCATCCTCCCACCCCCTCCCCTCTACAACACTCAGTTTGTTTCTCAGAGTTCATAGACTCTCATGGTTCATCTATCCCTCTGATTTCCCCTGCTTCATTTTTCCCTTCCTTCTCCTAATGTCCTCCATGCTATTCCTCATGTTCCACAAATAAGTGAAACCATATGATAATTGACTTTCTCTGCTTGACTTATTTCACTTAGCATAATCTCCTCCAGTCCCATCCATGTTGATGT